TTGAACTGACCGACTTTACGGAAAGAGGGATATGAGAATCGCAAGAATATAAAGAAAGAAAAATAGGCAAATTTGGTGACACAGCGAAGATTGCCCTGACTCAAAGCAAAAAACAGGAAATGGAAAAAGAAGTGACAATATCTTGGTTTTTATCTTTGAAACATATGTTAAGCATTCAGTATAGTGTCATACTGGTCAGTGACCACTAAACGTGACTGTTCTTATTCTTCTTTTTCACATTCTTTTTATGTTTTTACATATACTTTCATCTTGTGTACTGTGTAGGCCTTTTTATATGCGACTACTCGGAGGTTACACGCATAACTCAAATTATGTTCATTATAATCATCATGAAACACGACACCATCAGCTAACACAACAGCAGCAGCACTAGCAGCAGCAGTAGCATTAACAACAAAATGGGATAAACGAGAAAGAAAAAAACATCAGAACTGATAACAGCAACACTATAATCAAATGGTCAACACGTCAATTTCAAACACTACAAATGATACGATTTCAAATTCATAAGATTTCTAGTTCATAAAACCGTACACACTTTATATTTATATATACACATGCACTGAAAAATCTTACGATTCTTGGCATAACATTCTTCCCGCAATCCATTGGCTTTAAATTCAAGCACTACGATCTGCATGTAATCCTGACGAATTAAGTATATAATCCGTCAAGTTCCTAATTCTAGGTTAAATATTCTCCCCGCCCATATTCAAGTTATATATCAGATATCACTTATTGCTCCTGTGTGGGGTATCCAGTAGTTGATTGAATAATAATTCCGTTAACCCATGCTGGGGAAACGTAAAAGGGGAGGCAGGGGGGGGGGGATGGTGTCAAAATTGAAGTTGACGCAAAGTCGTATCCGTGAAATTATATTAAATACGAATTTAGCATTCAAATACAAAATATTTAGGTTTAAACCCGAATGAAACACTTACATAATTCTAAGCTGTCGCAAAATTTTTCTTATTGCACGAAGTTTTGTTTATGTCAGGACACGGCTGGCTCTCCCAAGAGGCTAGGGGCGGTAATAGTTCAGAACAACTCTATGTTGGCGTCGCTATTGTCTTGTCAAATTATGAAAATGTATTCATTGCATATATGGTGGGAGGTCGTACCATCTGATACTTCATCGAAGACCAGACTACATTTTTACTGTCCATACAATGCTTAGTTAGTGGCATGTGCCATCTTTGTCAAGCTTGTTAAACTATCGAACTTCCTCCGATAGCGACAACCTAACACTCAATATAAACCAGGGACCTGTTTCACAAAGCCTTTTTTCAATGACAAATAAGAAAAATCAGTGACAAATCTACTGATAACCAATCAGAAGCAAGGATTTCAGTAGCTTATAACACAAATTGTCATTTGTCACTGATGACAAGTTTTGTGAAACGCCCCCCCCCCCCCGGAGGTGTTAAAGACTGAGAGACTGAGTTTCCGAAAGCATGGAAGAATAAACCTTTTTTATTCACGCTGAATGCAACACAATGTCATGTAGTGTTCTTCCATCATTGTAGTGAGACTTTGACATATTGACAACATTAATAGTTCTCTGATTTAATTAACACAGCAAAGATTATACTTTGTTCAGGCTGCAACAGTAGTGCAGGATCTTTCGCCGATTTTTTTTGCACATTGATTTGCTTCACAATCACACTCTGTCGATGACAAGACTGATTCAAATAAGTATGCCCAGACCTTGTGGCCCGAATTCACAAAGGAGGTGTGTCGACAAACCTTGGGTTGTCGACAAACCTCCTTTGTGAATTCGGGCCAATGTGTCCGGACAGGTATTGTATTCGGACAGTTGATTTAAATCTGTGATTTGAAGAAGTTTACATGCAATATGCTTAATGATGCATACTTTGCTATTAATACTAAGTAAACATTTGATGTTTTTTTTTTTAAGTGTCCGGAAACACAAACCCCTCAGAAATGTCCAGTTCTGTGACAAACCCCCATCTGCGACAAACCCCATCATACTAATGACATTCACAGCAAAACAGTTTCATTTACGATCAACGTAAAGTGTGCGCAGATTCTGACACCAAAGAATGACAACATTTATTAGAGAAACAAGCTGAAGATATATCACTGTTCAGAAGGATACACGCAATGATAACCTTTCTTTCAACACCTGAACACACACACGCCCACAAACACATGTATCAGGGGTAAAGCGTTAACTCAAACATTAACAACTTTAATGTGAATAACATCACCGTTCTTAAGGCGTTTCTGGTGTAAACACAAAGGCTATTTCACACTGAGAAGACATCACATGCACTGCGGGAAAAATGAAACGTGCATGTAAAGTGCAATTCATTCCGTGGAATTTAAAATAGGTGTGAAAGGCTGTGATAATTAGAATGTAGGTGAAAGGCGTGGTACATAGCATGTGCTAACTTCAGGCATAGAAAAGTTAACAATTTGATATTGAATAACTAAATTTTTAATATTGTATATTCCCAAGGAGGAAGGGTAACTCATTCACCTGTTCTTAAACTTTGTCTGGTTAGTAGTTAGTGTAAAGAAATCAAAGCAAAAGAAAATTTAAATCAGCGAGTAACAAATTATAAAACGAAGACAATTTTAGCAGGTTCACAATCATTTTATGCATTTTCTGTTAAAAACCGATAAAGAATTATTGATAGTAAGTTCATTTGTCGGATTAGTCCAACTTAAGACGGTGTTATGCCAGAGTAATGCGTTTACACTAACCGGTCGGGAGAGTCCGCTTCGTTCTCGGTTTTCTTCTGACGCTCCCGGTCTTTTTGAGTGTCTTTACCCGCGGGTGAACCCGCGGTTTGAGCCGTTTCTTAATATCCGGGTTCGGACCTAATATAAGAAAATAGAACACAGACTGCTTGGGACGAAGTCGGAACAAAAGCGATCTTGTTCTAGTCTAGACCAAATTCGAGTCTAGACCAAATTCAAGTCTTCATATATTTTTTACAGATGATGTCCGACCCAATTGGAAATTAAAAGATAATACACGATTTTATACTATTCTCGACAAAATCTAGTATGTCCATAAATCTTGTCCGTAATGAATAACATGATTATAGTCATTGTGGTAATATTTCAAGATTCAAGTAAACATGAATGGCTATGGAAACGGATCTTATCAGTACAATATATTGCAAATAATTGATATAATTTTGTTAAACCTTTCATACGCCTGAAGTTATGGCACCTACGTTTATAACGAATGGATGTTTAGTACCTTTATTATCTGTTTTTAATAGAATAATGAAGACAAAAAAGAAAGATAAATCAACATCCGTATGTACGATGGTCGGATAGATGATTAGGAATGCACTGGAAATGAAATGGACGTGATACTATGAATATATGTAAATGAACACAAATTATATAGATCTTCGTCAGAGTGGACATGAATCACTATTCTAAATCAGAGACTGTAGCATTTTTTCACGTTCAATAATAGTTGTTAATACAATGTACATGATAGGATTTACGTGTTTGAAAAAAGCAAAGAGCGTTATACTTACAGATCATAGGCGTGGCTGCAAAGTCCTGCATTCTCTGCGAAGGTGTCTCGTAGTCCGAGGTCAAGCTACATGATTCAAGTGAAGACACTTCCGGTAGGTCATAGATGTGCCTCAGGGTCTTCCTGCGCGTTGTAAAGAACTTGGTATGCATCCGACTCAACAAGGACTTCTGCGTACCAGACTTTGCGGCTTTCGGCTTTGAAGTGTTGATACGAGATAGAAAAGATCGGCCTCCTTTAGAAGCCTTCGTTGTTTTCCTAAACCTTCCTTTATAGGTTGATGCTTTGTTTTCCTTGTTAAGAATCTCTACGCGTTCCCGCTCGAGTCTTTCCATCTCTTCCCGTTCAGCCTGAAGACATTTTCGCTCTTCTTCCTCCAAATGTTCACGTTCTCGTTGATCATCAAGGTTCATAATGGATTGAGTAACCAGGGAATGTACACTTGGTCTTCGACGAGCCTTCGGTTGTGCTACCAGACGCTCGATCTTACTACTTGCGGATATGTAGTGAACAGTACCGTTGTTCTTGCGGAATGCCTTGGCGGACTGCTTGGAACTGCGTCCGTGTGTCTTTGAGCCGTTGGTAACGTGCGGTTCAGGATATCCCTCAAAGTGGCCGTTCTTTGTTGTTGACCTGACTGTCGCAATGGATGGCATGACCGGCTGAGGAACCACCGAAGGCATCACACTGATGCCACGTGGGTAGGTCGAAACCGGAAGTGTCCTTGGGGATGACTGCTGTCTGTCATGGATATTGGCATGTCCATTGGCAAGAACAAGAGTATGCTTTCCAGTTGTGCCATGTCTGTTCAGGTCATTGGTGTGGTCATTGACCTTCTTGGTGCGATCACGCGTTGAGGACGTGATCACAGATGGCATGACCCCTAACCCCTGTGACCTTGATGGTACACGTGGTGGTTTGTCGGTCTCCTCACCGAGGCTATGATGAGGTTCACGGTGAGGTTCTTCGTAATCATCACTGGGTGATTCTGATATTGGAGGCATCACAGGTAAAGTGAATATCTGAGGTTCACTTCGCTGTGCACTTAACATCTTGACCTGATCAAATAACCAAAACATCAAACGGTTAAAGGGACTAATTACCTAAATTGTTTTACGTACAGTTATCTTTCAGGGCAAAATATGTTGATGAATGACCCCTTTTAGAGACTCAGTCTCTCTATATCTTCAGATGTTACTCTTTTATATCCAGTCACATATTGATAAAGGCTTTTGGGTCTTTGTAAATTCTATCAACCTACTATGTCAACAATATTACATGAAGGACAGTGTCTTTAATATAAGATACAGGTGGTTCTATCGAAGGTTCGTTGGTTAAAAATGCCATTGCATATTTTTCAAGATACGCCAATGGAAGCCGTTTTTTGTTTGTGGGGAGGGGGGGGGGGGTGCTTCTGTTTATGTTATTTCAGAAGTGTTTTATAGGCTAAGGGTTAAAATTCAACTATAGTTTTACATTTGGCTTAAAAATAAATTTCACTAGTAATTTTGAATACCCCATGAAGTGCATTTACAAAAAGGAAAATAAAACAAAACAAACACAAACAGTTGACATTAGTTCTTAGGAAACGACACTTCAATGTAAAATTATTCTTTCAAATAAATACTCTCTCGGACATAACAGACACTTTAATCACTCAAAACGATTACAGATGGAATGCATGATGCAATTTATCAATCACTGATAGAAGTTTATAGCAACGATATAATTATGTTAATGTCATAATCAAAAGGATTGTGTTTTCACACAAAGAGGGAGTTCAACTTGATACTATATTGGCTTTGATGGAGGCGGGGAAAAATCCGGTTAAAAATGAATGTCCGCTTCAACTATAACAAAGTTTTCTCTAATTCAAGTGAGAGAGATCGTGAAGGCATCGATGGTCTTTTTGTCATAGCGCCATCATGTGACAAAAGTAGTAGAGTTTGAATGGTATGGTGTGGTATGGTATGGTATGGTATGGTATGGTGTGGTATTAAATGTCCAAATCACAATATATCACACCTTATCACAAGACATTTAAAATAGAATGGTCGCAATGCATTTCTTTGAGATCTCAAACAGTATGAGTTATCACAATATTTGAAGGATTCCTCTAAATAAGAGGAGCCAAACTACGCAAAAACTTGTAGACCATCATAAATGTAAGTGCAAATAACGTCTGGACTGTAAAGTATTAAAAACAAAATACGACCTGCGATGTTTTGCATTTTTGTTGAAGACGGTCAAAGTAGGCCTATTTATTTCTCGCTCAATCAAATAAAATAGCAGCATAATACAAAAATCGAAAATGATTGAATTATATACCAATTACAGATTTGGTTCAGTTATACAATGCCGAAGGCGAGATAGGGACCTTATTACTTTACTTATATTCCTACACATTTATAATTATTGGTTGATGATTATTTTACCCGAATGTTAGGAAAACATTGACATGCTTGTAAGTAAGCAACCAATGAACCGAAGGCTTTAAATCTTTTCCGAGGGACTTGGTTATAAGGATTAATGCCTTACCAAAAGGGCAAGAGCGCATTTAAATGGTTTCGAACCCGAGACCTCTCGGTTACGAGACCACTGCACTACCACTGAGCCATGGCGCCTACTAATGAATATACCATTTCAATTTGGAATCGAGATGCATACAAATATATCATTGTTATAACTTCCGGAGCCAATGACCTACAAGCATTGCTTTCTCTTTAGGCTCCATCATATTTCTTTCTTTATTTAACTTAGTCTTATGTATTATTTTGTTTGTTTGTATCAATGCATACAAAAACGATTACATAAATGTTACATGCCAAATTTAATGATGTTTTATACAACATGTGAAATATGAAAATATACTGAAACTGAGAAAAATAAAATAAAATAAAACTGAAAATATGTTTAGCTGTTTTAATTTGAGCAATAATAGTTATACTAATTACCTCTTGTTCTAGCACGGATACTTTCCGTTCAGCGAGAAGAGCACGGTCAGTGGACCTCTGTAACATCTCATCATGAACCTTGAGAGGAATCATGTTCAGACTGTGAGAAGAAGAAGAAGAAGAAGAAGAAGAAGAAGAAGAAGAAGAAGAAGAAGAAGAAGAAGAAGAAGAGAGAGAGAGAGAGAGAGAGAGTTAAACATAAGTGAATATTTAATATGCGTATAATATTACAGAGGACAAAGTCATAAAAAGATTCATATAAAGTATTTTGATACGAAATAACATTTTGATAAAAACATAAACCGGAAAACCTGAAAAACGAGAGGACAATTTGTTCTTTATACTATGTAATGTTAACACTGAATTATTAACATCCTTTCAGAGTTTTGTAGTTGTTTAAGCATGTGAAAAATGGATCCGTCCCGATTTATGTTTCTTGAGAATATGACATATTGAAGCTGAAATATAAAAGTATTTAACAAAGACCCTAATTCAACCAAGTCCACTTTTCATTCTTGATTTACGAAAAACACCCAAAACATATAGCATTTACAAGGTGTACGAATGTATTTAGTAGTTAACCTCATAACAACATTTAATATTAAAAAAACAAATGTATTCTGTTCTTGATCTTCTTACATATTTTGTAATTCGGGCCAGAAATATTTTTGAAATAACGCCACGGGCCACTGAGTATTACACGGTTACATATATAGTCGTATACAAAATATGGAGCTGATGTAGCTTCCCATAAGTTTTCTCACTCTCACTGTTTCGCAAGCGAACGGAGCATACGGGCTCAAAACTTGACTCTTTAATTCTGTGAGAGTGCTATCTCTTCATCAAAATAATAGTAGATATGATATAAGAATTACAGGAAGAACATCTCACTGAGTGAGTGCTTAAATATCGATCGGTAATTTAATCATTCCGATGAGGTTGGGAGCGGGTCAGCCCAGTCGCTCTCCCCCTCCCCCCAAGGATCTAGGACAATGCAATAATATTTCTGGGCCCCGTCTTATTTAGAGTTGCGATTGATGCAAATCAATCGTACAATTCCTCCAATCAATCGCAAGTTTGCAGTCTCCTATCTCATGTGTGTACATAGTTGCGCTTGGTATCAATAGCAAATAAGTTACGATTAATCGTAACTCTTTATAAGACAGGGCTCTGGTGTTTTATACATGTCGCATACAAATGAAAGTCATGAAATCTTAGGGCAATCCAATCATTGTAATAAGTTGATTTGTATGAAAGCAGAAAAATAACTTAAGCAGAATAGCAAAAGTTTGAAATGAATCGGACCAAAAGTAAGGAAGTTATGAATGCTTGAAATATGAGATTATTTAAGTGTATTTGAATCTCAAATTAGTATTTCGGTCAGTGGATTGTGACGCAGGACTTGACTCTCCCATTTGCCGCGTACAAAAAATTTCATTAATTGTTTTCTTTTCTTGTAAGTTCCTTCTCCCTTCGGGCACTACTCAAAATATATAAATAGCATATTACAGGTATTCTAAAAAGAATATACCATCCTGAGCAATACATTTTAGAAAAAATAATTTGTTAGTCATTTTATAAGTTGGAACACATGGGAAAGTAGTCCGGCACTACAATGTACATCACATTGACATTACCGCTTTAGCCAATTTGAAGTGCCCATACGTTTAGTGATTACAACTTTACAAATTTGATAACTTTCTTATATTTAGTCAGATTTAATCGAAACTTTTATCAATTTGCTTCTCTGATGTGTCTGCTTTCTTTTAGAGTAGTTGTCTATTTGGGTTGGATTTCCCTTTTAGGGGTTGCCAAAAGAATATCTGGCTACCGTGAGAAAGAGCAACAACTGTTTATTTATAGTCACTATTTATATATTTGTTTTCAGTTGACCGGATTATTTAATTGAGCAACAACCTGAATGTAAACATATGTTCATCTGCTTCTACACGAATGTATTGAGAATATTTATTTATATACTTATTTACTTATTGATTAATTAGTTAATCTATTAAAAACAGATTATTGATAAGAAACCATTCGCGGTTAGAGGACCGAATGGCAGATGCTTTTAAAATCATAATAGATATAATCGATACATTGCATGTAAACAGATGAGATATATATGAACATAAAACAATCACGATAGCAGTAGCAACATATTCCAGCAATTACAAGGTACGTAAAAACGACAAGAATAACAATATCTAAAATGTTGTTGTTACCAACATTATAGGATTTAATGAGCTGTTTTATTAGTATCTCTGAGTCGTATTATCCATCCTATATCCGTTCACAATGTCTACACGTTTATTTATTTTTGTTTAATTCATTCATTTGTTATTCCCATCGGACATAGAAATTTCAATTCTTTACTAACATAAATATTGTACATTCATTTGTATAAATAATCAATTGCAGATAACCAAGATTGGGCATTGGTATTACCTTCGGTAATTAAATGCGCTATATAAGAGCTAACTATTATTATTATTATTTACCTACGTCAAGAAAAGGCAAATTAAAGATTGCCTTTAATACACTCGAAGTATAATAGTGACATCTGTGATAAATAGTATTAATGTAATCTTTGATATAAAATTATGCATTAGTAGCAAAATCATGTGATAGCAGTCCTGTTGTTAATTAGTAAAGTTAGTTTTAACATCATTTCATTGAGATCCAGCTTCAGATTCAAAACACAAACACATGATGTTCCTACCTCTATCAAATCAATACAATTTAGTAAAGTTTACATTTCAGAAATTTTGTTTCTAAGTTACTCTACGTTTTAACAATAATGTCGTCATCACCATCCAATCAACTTAAAGAATAATCTCAGATTTGTTTTAAGGTGCGTGTATGGTTATGATATTCAATAACCATGAATTACAGAACTGTGGACGTAACACCCTGGCATTATGATGTTTTAATACTTCGTGACACCATGGCATTATGATGTCACAATACTTGGCAATGGTGTCTTCCAGGAGGTGACAAGAATCGAATTCCAAGTACAAACGAGTGCATGGATTAAAACGCCCTTCTAAGAGAGCTGTTAAGCTTGAATTAGTCAGTTCAGAAATAAAAATAGTATCGCATCCTAATAATAATGATTTATTTTGCCCAGGAGAGCCTCATCAGCATCAATGTTTTTCTTCATGAGGGTCTTTACATTATAAGTGGGAGTGGGAGTGTCGTGGTCGAGTGGTTTAAGGCGCTTGACTGTAGATACGAAGGTCGAGGGTTCGAATCCCGACACGGCACTAATATCCTTTGGCAAGATATTTACCTGCACTTGCTACTCTCCACCCAGGTGTTAAATGGGTACCCGGTAGGATGCGAACGTTCATGTGGTTGAACGAGCAAGTGTGCGCCTGTAAAATGGCGACTGGCTGGAATGCTCCCCAGGGAGTGGAAAATGTGCACACATTGTGTGCGGGTAAGCCTGAATCCGATGACCGGGGTAATAATATATCTGTAAAGCGCTTAGGCACATCGTTGGATCGGTGTATTGAGCGCTATATAAAAAACCGGGTTATTATTATTATTATTATTTTAATGACACCAGCAATTGCCAGATACCTATTTACACTTGGTTGGAGAGGGGAATTGTACATTAATGTCTTGCCAATAGACGTTAGTGCTGGACTGGGATTCGAACCCTCAATCCTTGGATCGAGAGTCAAGTGAATGAACCCTTATACCACGACACTGCCACACATCAGTGCATTTTAAAGCACATGTTTTCTTTTACATAAAAGAAAACATGTGCTTTAACATTCAACATTAGATTGAAAAGATGGGGGAGTGGGGCAGATTAGCTCAACACCCCCCCCCCATACAAAAAAGGTGGAAAACATCAATTATTGGTGGGTATAAGCGACCTTTAAGTTTAACCACTAAAACAGTGACCCAACCGTAACATCATTCGACGAAATATTAACCAAAAAAATCACAATCTTCTTATGAATACGATCGCGAATATTTTAGAGAAATAAACCTTCTGCAATTTCAATATATAATAGCCCTGTCTATCACTTTATTCGATTTCATAACATTCTATGGCACAATTTAATTCGAACCTGATTTCTATAAATGGGTACCTGATATGCTTGAGCGCTAGTTACTTTGGCAGCTCTGCTACGACCAGGGTAATATGTGTAAAGCGCCATGAGCGTCAGAACCTGGCGGATACCGGCGCTATATAAATATAACCATATTATTTTATTTTTTAAACGGGTTCTAGAATGGCCCCTTTGAATTTTGAGTTGTTCTGCAATTTTCTCTAAAAGTCTTTGCGACAGTGAAATAAAGGCTCATTGAATTAATTTAAAATTCCTAGATTATTCTTTCTGGACTCTCACAGGAGTTATTACTTTCCCGCCCCATCTCCCCGATTGTTAGTAAGTGTACTGTATGACGACTTCAACGTTATTGCTCATTTCCTTTGTCATGTGTCATCAAAACACGGAAAGAAGAAGCAGATATTTCCCTAATATCGAGGGGTCAAGCCTGAAACATAACCGCAACGATTAAAGGAACCCTTGAGAGAGAGGGAGAGAGAGAGAGAGAGAGAGAGAGAGATGAAACATCAATCCAAAGCACGGAAGGATTTTGGGAGGGGAGGGGGTGACAAAATAGCCCATACATCTTTTAATCTGGCATTCCTTGAGTAAATAATTTTTGTTAAAGATTTGTCGGAATTGCATCCCCCTAAAGAATCCCTCAGAGCAGATAATGCAGGCCTTTTAGCTTCATGGATTAGGGGCCACGCCCCCTCCCGATTCGCCCCGAAAAATGCCAGATGTTGGGTTTTTCCTTCCTCACAAATCTCTTAATTCTTAGCACTTTTCGAGATCAGTGCGTCCCATACCCCCATCTCGTCACCCCCCCCCCCCTGGTTGACTACATCAATAATTAGGATGTGTACGTCTTCAAAATTCAACATTTTGTTATTGTTTATCGGATGCATAAAGGCATTGTTTAACAATGTTTCCAGTTTTACAAATCTGAGATGCATGGCTCTACGTGTTATTATTGTCTGTGACTCTGTATGTGATATGATGTAATATTGAAGCCCTAACCAAATTGCGCTTCAAAATGATCATGAAATGCCTCAAAAAGTAAAAATCTTTGAGCGACCGGTTTTTACCATACTCATTCTCCCCAATAGACTGTAGTGTTATAAAGACCGTTGGGAAAATGGTATTTGAAATTTCGAATTTCAATCATAAATATCTTGATAATCAGACAGGCGATCGGCTTGTAAAAGTCATGGGATTCCTGATTGACATGAAGGTTTATAATTATGATCACAGCATGAGCTAAATCCAGAATTGTTTTTTTAAATCTGAGGCAAAGATACCCAATTCCTTTAAAGGGATAGTTGAGTTCTGTTTTCAGACCGCAAATGCCTTCAAGGTGCATGGTTATTGCTCATATTCTTATCTATGACATTTCTAGTGCTCTTTTAGCACCTAAAATTGCTATGAAGGTAATGTTAGACCCCAAAATGTGTGAAATTTAGCCAATACGATCATAATTACCAATTCAGCTCCACTTAAAAAAAATACGGTGACCGTTATTAATCAATTAATTAAAAATAACAATACATGAACCGGCTGGTTGTGCGTAATATAACCAACACGAAATAGCCACCAAAAATGGCATCGGCATTGGCTGAAATACAACGTAAAAGGCGCTATTTCGTTTTTTCAACGGCTTTTTGAAATTATCAAATATTTGTGGTGGTACACAAGTATTAGAAATCGTTATATTTATGGATATTTCAGCCGTCTCTAAACCGATTTTGATCAAACAAAGATGATTTTGTCATTTAAATTGTATGTTCTTTCAAATGTGACACTCAGTTTTTCATTTTCTCACACAAAAATTATTTTGTGTAGCGCCCTCTGCAACAGAACTCAACTTTCCCTTTAAAGTGATGGACTTCTTAAACTTGCAATGAACCATTACTATGTATTAATAGGATTCACATTTTTGAAGATTTGTATTTCTAAAAACTTTCACTCAACCGTTCCTCTGTCACTATCGTCTTCCCCTTTTTATCAATTACTCTTTGAACCTTTTCATTTTACGAGCAATTTGTGTGACAAATTGACCACAAGTACAGATTTTTGGCAGTCATTCAAAAGAGCCCCCAAATGGAATCAGTTCTTAAAATGACCGTGTGTATGAGAGAGAGGGAGAGAGAGATGAGGTAAAATGAGTGTAAAGTTTGATAGTCTAAAGAATCAGACCATGATATGTCAATTATAGAGGTAAGTTTGGAAAGCAAGTTAGGAGGGAATTTTCCTTTGGTATTTAATGCATAACTTAATCACAGCATCTTCTAATATAATGTGATGAAAGATATCTAAGTTCTAATGTTGACGGAAAAGTTCTTCTTGCATTATAGCGATAATATAATGATAATTAGTAGACTGGAAAATTTAAGTCCATTTTCGTAATGTAATCAAATTTACTGCACAAAACTTTGTCAAGTGCCACGTTACAATTTATTTCATTCTCCTGTCAGAATGCAAATTGTATACATTCCGTGTTGTTAGGTAGGACGAGCCATATTGTTTGTCCTACCTAGCAACAATGAATGCATGCAATTGCATTATAACTATTGAAATACAATTATTCGTAATTGGTGAATGAAATAATTTGTGAACTTGGCACTTAACAAAGATTTGAGCATAACATTTGATAACATGACGAAAATGGTCTATTGGTTTTGACATTACTCATTCACGAGTGCGATGTATTGCTGATTTCGTTACACCGATAAACCCGTTCTATTTTTTGTTTAATGTGAGATGTTTCCTACTCTATAGTTGCTGTCAAAGTTTCTTACCTCTGTTTTTTCAACTCTGCGACCTTTTTCCTGAGCATAGATATTGTGTACTGTGCTGCAGTCAGGTCAGATTGCAACTCTGGAAGAAAAAAGAAGAAGGAAAAAACATTAAAAATTCCTTTATCATGAGTGAGATAAGTACACAAAACGCTTGACAAGTAAAACAGAAACAAAAGACATCCAAACAAAAACCAAGATTGTACTCGTATTATCAGGCGAGTAATCTAATGTGGCATGCTGAAGGTTTTCATTTTGTTTTAGTAATTGAATGTTAACTTCTATTCTTAACTTCTATTTTCTATGAGCAGAAATTTATGATACAAGCCAATGGAAAAGATGATGACTTTTAATACTTCGTTGAGAACAGGATTCTGAGAACGCATTCCCTTCTTTAGTTTAGTTTTCTTAATTATTTTCCTTTGCGGAAATAGGTTCAGGTGTGGAAAAAAAAGAAAGGAAACAAAAATGAAATCGAAAACTTCCCTTTTATGTTATTCAATTTATTAGTGGCGTATGTTCTAGGGGCACATGAGGACATAGTACGATAGAATGGCGAAAAGGGGAGGGGTAGTCGACAAGGGATAATATAAGGGCAACTTGAAATTATGGTAGTACGACCCCCTCCCACATCCTCCCCTTATGCGCTGGATTGCCTTGTTCTCTCATATTCACATTTACCTGGTGAGACCGGGGCAGTCCCCACCCTACACCAGGGCTCCCTTAAGCTATTTGATAATAGTGTAGCGTTAGTCGTTACAATGATCATTTTGGTGATACAAAAGTCAACTCGAAAAAAACAAACAAGGTATTTGTTGTCCAAGAGCTAAAATAAATGAATGAATACAATTAATGCTAGAACCAGTGTAATAATTGTGGAGCGCCATGAGTGTCAAGTCTAAGAACAAGAGCCCATTGTCATTATTAGTATCATTGTTATCAGTATTATTATAATCTTTATCACTATTATCACTATTATTATTCTTAAAAATTAGAAAAGGTCGCCGATTGGCGATTCCGGTACAAAACCCCTATGTCGCGACTTCAGCTAAAGGAAAAAGCGTGAAACTAAGTTTAAATCTTTTCTTAGAAAGACACAGCTACGTTATCGTACAAGTATGTTTTTTCCAAATAATTTAATTTAAAGAAATAAAAAAAATCCAAAGATGTCATTACCAAGTAATTGTGTTTTCATCTTGAAACTCCTTTTACGGGACGAATGTCTTCTCGACAGAGGCCGCATTTCGGTCAAGTTTTCGTAATATTGATACATAATTTCCGCCATACTGTTACGTTGAATAGACAGTCTAGATGTAATCTCCACCAGCACAAAACTCAGATGAACAGATCGGAAGCGACCAAGGTAGATTAGTTTCTATAACGTTCGAATTCCTTGCAGGCCATAAACGCCACTTTCACTAATTTTACGTCAGTATCTTTGCGATCAACAACATAAGTCATGACTAAGGCTGACATGAAGAATTGAGAAATAAAACTTAATCGAAAATGCAACCATTTTAAGCCAGAGAGTAATTTTTTTTCCTCAAGTTTTTTTCTTATTGACAACTAGTCAAACTATATTTAGCTGTACAATTTAAATACAATGACGATGTTTATTTTTAGAGCAATATTATTAACTTCTTTGAAACAATTTTGAGCTTTATTTCGATGAAAATGCTCAGTCCATCTAAAAAGAAGTCTTTCGTTTAAAAAATCCTTCGGTTTGGTGAAAAGGTAATCCAGACTAAATCCCAAACGGATAATCCAACAAGAGGGGATAAGTTAATCCACGTTCTGCATGCACGAGGTCCAAAGCCACAAATATAAAATCAGCTGCTATTCCTAAATCCTCATCACACTGCTGTTACGATCCAACAGAAATAGGAGTACGTTTGAGGGACCGCGAAGATGAATATTCCAACTTTCTCCTCAAGTTCACATTCTCAAACCATCTTGGCACTGTATGTTTCCGCACTGTATGTTTCCGTCCTGTATTCTTAAATGGATCAAACAACGCCTACCTCTATCCCAGTTTGTACTTTTGAGTCTATTGTTCCCAACATCCAGCTGCTATGTTGTTGTTAAAGCCAAACCGATAGCGTGAAAGACCTAATTTGTTTATTTGAAACGTTCCACAGTCTGTCGTTAAAACATCACTTCATTACTTTCTTCTCCGTAATCATCCTGGGAAATATCATACTCCTTCTTTTAAGATGAGTCAATCACTGCCCCATATATTGCGACCCTGCTGAGTTTGTCCAGGTCGAAATGAACAACCTGTTCATAATACATTAAACCCGACTGAGTGACAATATTCGACCTATCAGCTTTCAAAGCTAATATTAGCCGTATTATACGCTACTTTTCTTAAAGGTTGGGTAAGCCAATTGCAAAGTAAAAATTGCAAAAGTTAACAGTGAAACAAATTTAGCCCAAACTAAACGAGATACACGTTACTCTGCAAGTAAAACATTCAAAAAAATGCTGGAGTTTTCAAGCCTAAATGACTCAGAGACATTAAGCAGCATGATGCCTTTTTAATACCAATATTTTAGTTATTGCCATATTGAGCCAACTCATGATTATATCACAATAGAATTGCGTGAGAGAGAATTGTGTCAGGTGTTATATAGTTTACCAACTAATCCAAATTAATCGCGACTTGATGTCAACCGTAGTACTGTTCTGAGACAGGTTTCATTTCGTTTTCGACTGATTAGAGGACTTACATGTACAATCAATCTGGTTCAATCGCGACGCGTTGTGAGACAAGACCCACATGTATAGAAATACAGGTCGCGGATTAAAAAATAAAATCGACACATGAAAAATCGAGAGCTAGGTAGGTCAGTGGTTAACAACAACAACAACAAAACTTTGAATGTGCAATTATTATATTTCATGTTGATAAATTCAAATTTGATAGACGATAGTTTGATTTTTGTGTATCAAATTGGATACATTATAGGCCTACTGATAACGCACAATCCCTTTAAGACATTAATAGTCCTTTTAGTGTGTTTAGTGTAGAATCAGAAAACATGGATTCACTGCAACATAAGTAGATGTTATAATATTATGGGAGTGTCGTGGTCGAGTGGTTTAAGGCGCTTGACTGGAGATGTGAAGGTCGAGGGTTCGAATCCCGACACGGCACTAATATCCTTTGGCAAGATTTTTACCCGCACTTGCTACTCTCCACCCATGTGTTAAATGGGTACCCGGTAGGATGCGACCGTCATTGTTGGTCAAACAGTTTTTGAGCGTCAAGTAACGCCTGGCTGGAATGCTCCCCAGGGAGTGGAGATTGTGCACACAGTGTGTGCGGGCAAGCACTGAATCCAATGACCGGGGTAATAGTATATTTGTAAAGCGCTTAGAGACATTTGTAATAAGCGCTATATAAAAATTAAATATTATTAATATTACGTAACATCAACTACCAAACACAAGTCAACATCGTGCTGTTCGTGCAAGATTGTCCTTCGGCGATGGTTTGAATTCGGACTTTTGGGGCGACTACCCTCTGGCCTAGCAATTTCTGGCACAGTTTGAGCTAAAGAAGTAAACTTTTTGTCCGAAAGTAACACAATTGACTTAAATTCGTCATCACTTAATCATTGCTATTATTAACCTAGCAAGTGTTAGTAAGTGTGTGGTTTAACGCCCCCGTTATGTTTAAAAGTGGGTCAGCGTAATATGTATTCCTCGCACTTTCAAATTCGTGACTGGGAAAGTTAGGGATTGAGGAACTTCAAGATTGAGGAACTTCTGAACTGCAAGGAAACTTTGGGACTGGAAAACATCCGCTGAACCATTCTTTTCTCCATGTAGAGTTTGATACTTACTAATCATGAAAATAAGTCTCATTTTCGTTTCTGTAAAGTAATAGTCGCTCTTAAATTTGCGCTCTTAAAAATTCGTGAAAATGCTAATAATTGTAGATTACGTTGTACGGCTGGCATGCATGAGGGCGTTGTGCCGATCTGCCAAACGCTAGCGTGCAGTAGTGAAATATAGGGGGGGGGGGGGGGTCGCCTTCACCCCTATAAGAGTGAGAGGGTGGACGGGGAAATGGCAAGTAAATACCCCCAAAAGAGGGCTTTGAGAGACTTGCGGACGTTTGTGGGTGAACTCAGGAACATGCTCGAAACATAGTTTCACGACAGATGCCGTTGGCGTTAACGATGAAATATGAAAACTTAGATATAAACGGATGGAAGAAGGGGGGGGGGGGTCGTATGGAGGTAAATGGAAGAAACTTGCATTTGAACCTTAGGTGAATGTTGAGATACAATGCACTTCTATTGCCACCTATTTCGATCTCTCCAATTGACTTTAAAAACTTGCCAATTATTATTGAGCTATTGAAAGGAGATTCGGAAAGTGAATTGCAGATTATAGAAATATATGTTTCAGTCTAATGTCATCTTCTCTTCTATATAGAGATACATGTAAGTGTATGTTGCTAATATCAATGTAGTAATACAAAACTACACAATTTATCCTTATTATGGCATCAGTATCTACAAGATGATAATCAAAGTGAAATATGGAGAACATTATACAAAGAAAACAGTTTAACACGCTAATTCTTTCACACTTCCTTAATCCCTATACCCCCTCTGGTTCTCGCTCTTACCCCCTCTTTACTTTCACACCCTCTCTTCAAACTTAATTAAATCAGCCGGCCCTAACGAGTAACTTCCTTATTGCTCCAGCTTTTATCCGTTATAAATGATAACGTCTAAACGCACACATCATGTTCCCCTCATTAATGAGACGACCATCTGCCGTAGCTCATTACACATGATAAAGCCAACATTGACAACCACGTGCGAAAGAGCTTTCTAATATACGGATGATACATGTAGAATCGTGTCGTTTTTTTTCTTCTCTCTTCTTCTTTTTTGTCATTTTTCATAGTAACATTAATAACTTTTGTCTCAGGAAAAGGGTTGGCAAAATTAGTACAATAGGTGTCGTAGACGAGTGGTTTAATTACGTGATTCATAATGCACAGGCCATGGGTTCGAGCCCTGGTACGTCACTTACAAAGAATACTCCTCTGATCCCTGTAGAATTTCGAAGATTAGTTTAATTGGATTGGTATATACTCGCCCGTGGAATGCTCCTAGGGAGTGGAGAATGTACACTGTAATGTGTGGAGTGGTAACTGAATCCAGTTACCTACAGACTACATGCTTTATGCATATTGATCGTTATACATGAGTTTGAGTTTGAAGTATATTATCCAAACAAAAGTACATCAATGCAACAATCAAATGTGAATGGTTAACATTGAAAGGATAAATGGTACCAGAAAATAGCATTTAATGTTAATCGTGTCTGGTACATGTTTAGTTAGTTAATTAATCAGTTTTTATACTGTTGCGATTAAACTGCTTGCTTTGTTTTGTATCGATTGCAGAACTGTTTATTGAATGAAATATACATGTATGTGACGATGTCTCAAGCCTTAGGCTTATATTGCCCACCACTGTGTGTTTCTTCAGTATTACAAGCGTGATTACTGAACATGTATTATGGTCGTAGTATAAGTCTACTGCTATTGTTTGAGTATAATCATCTTGATAATACTATTTAATGTGATGAACTATGCAGAAATTAAATAAAAGTAAATAAAAGAAGGAATAAAACAAAGTTTGTTATAAATATCTGGAGGAGACTATTTTCTATTCCCACTCCAACTAGTAATAAAGACACCCTGGGCATCGATTGGAGGAGACAGTGTTTATAAACAGACCAGAAAAATGACAGTTTAATAACCGGTCTATTAACGGTAATCACTTGAGTTCCTAACGAAGTTAGAGTGTTATGTAACTAAAACGTGATTTTCGCTAGAATCTATAGAATAAAACCTTTACTTGACAGATAGATTAATTTCCACAACCACATGCAAATTAGCGTATTAATGCTGATAAATTAATTGTGAAGAGAGACAGATAGGGCACGGTTTGGAAACGTATTAATTATCTTACACCATCCTACTTAAAGATAAAGTCGAGTTCTGTTCATGCGAATGCATTGTGAAAGAAACCTTGTGGAATCGATCAGAAAAGGTTGATCATTTAGCATATTATGGGGTGTGAACTGCAAGGTTCTGGAATCACAGAAAGATGTTTATGGGGCTACACGGGTATGTGGTATAAAAATCCGTTCCGATTTTTATGATTTCACATGCCATATCTAGAATATTAAAGCATTTGAAGAGCCATGCTTTTTAGTGAACATTTTGTATCTGATGTTCTTCCACACTTTCATAATACAATGATAACGATCACAAATTATTTGTTCACCTCTTCCCAGAACTCAACCTTCTCTTTAAATATAATTATGCAAACCTCGTTTTTTAAATCCCCAGTACCCATTGTGACCATGGTGACATTCAATAAAACAAAAACATAGAATCATCTGAAAATCTGGTAATGGAGAAAGTAAGCTTCTTACTTATTTCTTGGGACACTAAATTAGCTGAAAAACTTGCTTCTTCTTCCTCTTCGTCTGTCAGAAGCTTCGAATCAGACGTAGAATTCCAGTCCCGGTTACATCTTGTGCTTGACTTAGCGAGGGGTTGTATCTGAGCTACGCAGTATAAGCAGGCTCCGTCGGTACGATCATAAACTATATCAGAGAGAGAGAGAGAGAGAGAGAGAGAGAGAGAGAGATGGGGAGAAATGGAGAAAGGACATGAAACAAGTGAGACAGAAAAAAACACGAAACACAAACACGTTTTCATTTGCTCATTTCTCATTAATTATACACTTTTTTATTAAAAAATTGGCCGATATGTCTATTTGCACTCTTTAAATTTCAAAATAAAGTTGTTTTATCTTATTGAAATTCAATTTGTGGAAAGGGAGAGGGAAAAGGAAGACGCTTTATATATTACGACTACCACCCACTCACTCCCTAACATTGTATCCACTTTGTAAAACCAGTTACCCACATTAGCTTGTAGGATACAAATTTCAGTTCTGAATAGCATTTTGGGAGACATCCTTTTTTGTTATTTTTATTCATAGACAAACTCTACCTGCGCACAAGTGATGAATGCATGGGCATTTGTAATCGTTTTGTTTTTTATGAAACAGTATAATAATAATATTGTTATGGGTTTATATCGCTTAATACGTCGCCGATGTACATGTTATTATTAAAGCGCTTTACAGATATTATTGTTAACACCGATTATCGGATTCACGCTTGCCCGCACGTACACAGTGTATACACATTCTCCGCTCCCTGGGAGCATTCTAGCAAGGCGCCATTAAAATGACGAAGCTCACAATGCTGAGCTTTCTACAATGAATTTCGCATCCTACCTGGTACCCATTTAACACCTCGGTTGACAGTGGCAAAATGTGGATCAATGTTTTGTTGCCAAAGGATGTCAGTGCCGGTCTGTGATTGGAACCCCCAACCATTAGATTGGGAGTCAAGTGAATGAACCACTATTCCACGATACCTCCACCTTCTTTTTGATATTAAAGTGTCATCCTCGGTCGTTTCTTCAGTTCATTTTTCAACATGAATAAAAAGTACAAAAGTAATTTCCGACTAGTAAGGGTTCATATTTTCAATTTCAATTTATTTTCCATCTTTAACAAAAAAAGAACAAATAGGTATTGACACATTGTATTAAAATAATAAAATAAACATAAACATGGAGGATACCCTCAATAAGCAGGCTGCTTGTAAGCAGGGCCCCGGTATACAATATCAAATTTACAATTTTTTTAGAGAAATGTCTAAACATTTGAGAGAATTATAAAACAGCAAAATTATATAAGGAGAGTAAACCTCAATCGGCCAAGGAAAAACCAATTAACCAATTCCATGAAAAATGCTATTGTCTACGGGGCCATATGAAGCAGTGTTACGTAATGTATCTGTTCCGAGGTCCCATTCTTGATTTGTTTAAAGAGTTTTATGAAATGAATATTAAGAAGACACGTCACGGTCAACATTGGACAACACAAGCAAGGGGCAGACCCATGATTATCAGAAGGGGCGGGGGGGGGGGGGATTAATATGATACATATCTTGTCTTGCGGTTTGCCATGTGGCGCCTGAATAATTGATGTTGAAACATGCATATACCTAAACCCCGTCTTAACTGGAAAATAAAAGGGACTTTTAGATTTGCGTGGACTGATACGTATGACGTCCATTCAAGGCAGTGCATTAAAAGGACGTCGACCGTAGCAATCCACATTGTCTTCGTGCGAATCTAAAAGTCCCTACTGTCGCGGTGTCGTCCGGACGTTGTCCGGATGACAATAGGGACTTTTAGATTCGCACGAAGACAATGGGGATTGCTACGATCGACGTCCTTTTAATGCACTGCCTTGAATGGACGTCACACGTATCAGTCCACGCAAATCTAAAAGTCCCTATTTACCCCTTCCAGTTAAGACGCGTCAATCGGGGTAACGTCCGGACAATATCTAAGCGACATCGAGGTAAATCTCACCCTTGCCAGACTAGGGTGAGATTTACCTCGATGTCACGTCGATTGACGCGTCTTCAAGTAACTGGAAGGGGGTAAATGTCATCCGGACAACGTCTGGACGACACCGCGACTTTATTTTCCAGTTAAGACGGGGTTTTACTTATCGTCCTAAACGTGCAAGGGCAACAATTCCGTCATTGATTAAGGCCTGTATTCTGTTAAAATAAAAACTCGATCAAAACAATTTGACGTCTACAGTAGTAAGCTGGTCAATGATATTTTAACAAACATAACTCGATTTTAATAAGTCATTAACAAACAAATGTTTTGCTGCTTGTTCCCACCCAAGAACGCCCCTGTATCCGTTTAACACTTTTAGGACAGAATTTATTTCTAGGGCTATTAAAATTAATCGCACATTGCTCTTCAAATTGGCAGCAATAATATTATCTTTTGTCGCTTCATTCTTGAAATGTAATGTAATGTCTCAGAAAAAAAGTATGTGGGCTAGGATATTACCGAACAGTTGAACAAAATTTCAAGTTTTGATCGAAAAACAATGATCTTGAATCTTTCCACTTGTTAAAACTCTTGGCATGAAACACGATACAGTCATGAAATAAAAATGTCAAATGATTGTCATGAAAGGGTGAAAACGAAACAGGAGTGATAACAGGTTAACAGACTCACAATTGTCATCACCCAGAGGACCGCAGGTTACAAGTTATGCTTCATAGGCATTCCACCTGTCACTCAGGGTATACAGACTGATTGCATAATCCATTAGGTTATGTCAGACAGGAACATGTACCAAAGTAATTAGTCACTGACAGGGTATGTCAAGCATTCACACACATAGCCAGAACAATAAAAACATTTTTCTTCTTCTCTAAGTTGCAAATTGTTAAATTTGATATTGGAAAAGTATGTTAGTGCATTCTGCTCCAATTTGAATATTATTAATGGCTAACTTAGCATTCATGTTATCATGAATTAGCTTCCTACTCACAGTACCCCCCCCCCCACCCCACCCCGACAGTATGATTATTAACATGTATTTTTTACCAAAATATTACTCTTATATTAGACCATAACATTTTTTCTCTATTTTTGTTTAACTTTCTGGTGCCGTGGAGGAATGTGCTAAATATGTAATATTCCCTAATTGGGTTATGAGAAATACGGACGGGTAAGAAAAGAAATCAAGATAGAGAGAAAAGGAGAGAGAGAGAGAGAGAGAGAGAGAGAGAGAGAGAGAGAGAGAGAGAGAGAGAGAGAGAGAGAGAGAGAAGGGGGCACGAGATGATGATGGTAATGACGATGGTCGTGATAATAACATAATGATGGTGATGATATTGATGATGATGATGAAAATAATAATGATGCTGCTGCTGCTGATAGTGAAAATGATGATGGTGATGATGACGATGATGATGTTGATGATGATAATAATGGTGATGATGATAAAAGTGATGGTGATTTTAATAATGATAATAATGATGGTGATAATGACGATGATATTGATAATGAATATGACGTTAATGATGGGGATGATGATGGTTGTAGTAACGGGGAAAAGGAGGAGGAGGAGGAGGAGGAGGAGGAGGAGGAGGAGGAGGAGGAGGAGGAGGAGGAGGAGGAGGAGGAGGAGGAGGAGGAGGAGGAGGAGGAGGAGGAGTACGAGGAGGAGGAGGAGGAGGAGAGAAGGAGAGGAGGAGGAGGAGGAGGAGTAGTAGGAGGAGGAGGAGGATGAGGAGGAGGAGGAGGAGGAGGAGGAGGAGGAGGAGGAGGAGGAGGAGGAGGAGTAGTAGGAGGAGGAGGAGGATGAGGAGGAGGAGGAGGAGGAGGAGGAGGAGGAGGAGGAGGAGGAGGATGATGGGAGAAGGAGGAGGAGGGGGAGGAGGAGGAGGAGGAGGAGGAGGATGAGGAGGAGGAGGAGGAAAAGGAGGAGGATGAGGAGGAGGAGGAGGAGGAGGAGGAGGAGGAGGAGGAGGAGGAGGAGGAGGAGGAGGAGGAGGAGGAGGAGGAGGAGGAGTAGGAGGAGATCTGATCAGAAACATGTGATTACAAAATAAAAAAGTAAATCCTACCCGTATCCTTTTTGCCCGCTTCCCTTCCATTGGGTACTCGGATCTTCGTCTCCAACATGACCGGCGGCGGCACGAAACTCGTCGACAAGTTCAGTTGCTGATATCAGTCTAATCTACGCTGTCGAACAGGTTGAAGTCATCGACTGTTTTTCATGGATGCTGCCAATTAAGATTGACATAAAAAATATACATATCATAATGAACAATATCATAAATGAATCGACAATCACACAATCTGTGAATTTACATGCTACATTATTATGCAGACTAAATCTCAAACATTGGGATTCGACATTGTATGATTACTATAGTAAAATAAGTTGTTATTTTGGTTTAATAATTTCGATCCTGAACAATCGCGACTATATCTGTTTACAGTCCGCCCAAAGATATTCAATCGTTATTGCTTATCATTATAAGTGTGATTAATTAAATCGCTAGCTCTCAAAAGATGAAGAGATTAATGAATTGCCTTTGTTTAAAAAATTACAATGATTATTGATGCAGTACATGTGTGATGAAGCAAACTGCATTGTGAATGAAGATAATGATTTGGCTTCTTGCCAAACATACACGATTATCCATTTCATATCTCTCTTTATATCTTAGTTGCTTACAGCCTCTCCGTTCTTCCTTTTCTAGAAAATCCAGATCCACAATTTGTTTAATTGTGCGTGTTGGGGAGGAGGGGGGGGGGGGGGGGGGAGGTTCTCAAAAATACTAAATCAAGTGATAGAGTATTGTTGTGCACTTAACATGCTTAAAGATAGGGTCTCATGGAAGACCACCATTATTGGTGATAATGAGTTACCCTGTCTATTAAAATATCAAAAATGAATAAATAAATAACAACAAAATTACATTGAATGGTCAAGATTACAAATAAATGACATGTGCCAAACGATTTTGGTAGAAAATATAAAGGGGCTGAGTAATGAGCATAGAACGATAAGGAAATCAATGTAAGTAGGCCTGACACCATGTGCTTAACACAGGTCACTATGTGCATATGAGAGTAGTGGTTTTTATTGGAGATGATTTCCAGCAAGTTTTTGTCAGGTTGTTTTTATTTTA